TGTCCCCTCCCTCATCATGGTTCAGGGACCCTGGGTGATGGTGGGCCCCGAGGTAGGTCCCCTGTGCCTGCCCACCTCACCTCGCACTCATAATGGCCCAGGTCGTCCTTGCTGGCTGTCAGGATCTCCAGCACCAGCAGACCGCTGCGGGGCTCACTCAGGGTTCGGTACTTGCTGCTGGGCGTTATCAGGGCCCCGTCCTTGTACCACCTGCAGCCAACCCCAGGGGGTGAGGAGGGCCTCCCCAGGTTCCTCCACTCGAGACTCTCCTCTCGCCCACCCTGCAGGATCGGGCTTCCATCCAGAACCCACGTACTTCTGACGCCACCCACCCAGCCTCCAGTGGGTGTTGCCCCCCCTACAGCGGGAGCCATGTTTAGAATCTGCCCACCCCCCAAGCAGCAAGCATGCCGCCTACCTCCCCTCCTGTGCCCCGGGTGCAAGCTGCCCAGCCCACCTGATCTGAGGGTGTGGGGCACCTTCGATGGTGCAGGTGACCTGCGCATCCTCTCCCTCCACAAAAGGAACCGCCCGGACCTTTTTCACAAATCGTGGGGGTACTGTGGGGCCACAGAGCAGGGTAAGAGAAAGAGACACACAGAGAGACACCATGATGGAGCAGGACCCTACCCCCACTCATGAGTGCCCCAGACGTCACCGGCAGCCCACCCCATGGGGCCACTGAGGTGGAGTGGCGTCTGGATGCTTCCTACTCCAGGCTCCCTCCCAGGGCGGCTCACCTTGCACCAGGATCTTGCCCAGCGTGCTTGTGTTGCCGGCGGCACTAGCTGCAAAGCACATGTACTGGCCCGAGTCCACACCAGTCAGGTTGTCCAGGATGAGGGCACATGAGCCGTCGGGGTCTTCAATGAGGATGTGGTGCGGATCCACCTCCACTGGCTTCCCATCTGCAAAGGAAGGCAGCGCTGTCACGGAGGGCACCCTGCCAGGGACAGGAGGCTGGCCTGCCTGGGGGGTGGTGGGGGGCCACCCCTGGAGCACAGACCCCTGGTGGGGAGCCCGGCTGGTCACGCTGACCCAGAGTCCTGTCCCCTTCCCCAGATCCCTGTGCCCACCGTGTGGCCTCGGAAAGTCGGCTCATAGCGGGGTTCCTGCATGGCGTGCCACCTGAGGCCATGCCCAGAGGGATGCTCTGAATCCACGGTGGGGCCCCATGGCATGGGGCGTGCTCCTCATCCTGGCAGATCGCAGCCTCTGGGGGCTCCCTGTGGGCTCTCCCACCATGACGCTGCTTTGGGTCACAGCGGCTCTTGGCCGTGTGAGCCGCCTGCATTGAGACGGCATGTGTCAGCATCTGCTGACCCTCACACTTCCTCCTGTCCACCCCTCGGGAGGGCAGTTTGGTCACCGGACACACAGCTGTCCCCAGACACAAGTTTTTCCCTCCAGGGTGCTGACAGCATTAAAGGGGCAGAGATCCCCCCACCCGACCGCTCCAGGGTGAGATGCGTTCTCCTTTCCCCTTGGATACAGACATGGCCCGGCCAGCTCGCCTTACTGGGGGCAGCCTGACCAGAAGCAGGGTGGTCCCAGGGGCTTGTTCTTGCTTCCACGCAACTTTCTGAACCGCCCTGTCCCTCTGGATTGGCCGTCCCAGGCACAGGTCTGGCCATGAGGGGATCGTGGGATGGGCAGTTGCACTCCCAGGTTCTGTGTAACGGGTCGGGGGGAGCAGCTGGGAGAGACCTCCCAGACCCCAGGACGTGGGGGCAGTGGGGCCTCCTTCCAGAAGAAGACCCCAGGGCAGAGGAGGGGGCTCTCCCAAACTGCCACCGGGAACCAGCTGCTGCGTCCACCGGCTCCGGCCTGTGGCTCTGACCGTGGGACCCAGGGAAGGCCCAGCAACACCCCCAGGTTTCCTCAGCAGCCCTGTCCTTAACCAGGAGGGACACAAATGCCCCCAGGGCCTGACCACTCTGGAATGGCTCCTTCAAGACCAGGGCTGGATTCGGGTATTCGGGCTGCACTGGAGCCTTGGAGACTGACCTGCCAGCCCAGGCCAGCCCAAGTGACCCCCAGTAAAAGAGTCTTGGTTTACCTGGGGGCCTTGGACCCCATCTGTCGTGATATATATAGGTTTGGGGCTTAAGGCCACGTGGCAGCGGCTTGACCTCTGCAGGGTCTGTGACAGACCTGAGCTGTGCCTGCCTGAGTGACCACCCAACAGGTGCCCTGGACACAAGGCTCAGATCAGTGTCCCCGGGGGGCTGGACTGCGCTACTATACGTCCACATGGGAGAGACATGAGATCTGCAGGACTCCACTGGAAGGGAGGGCGGGGGGACACCAGGACCCTGCCTGGACACCCAGATGGAACCCTCCCCACGCGCCTCTTCCCGCTCCTGCAATAAGCCAGACCCTGAGTGCACACTCTGCTGAGTTCTGTGAGTCCTTCTAG